ACAAAGCTCACCATGTTTATGAAAAAACCAACTCCGGTAACCCCAACTGCTGCCTCAGATGATGACATCAACGATCCGCAGCCAAGCACCAGCGGCCAATAAAATGTTTCGTACATGTTTATATATTTTGATATGTTTTGCAATTGGGAAAATGTTTCTTATGGTATTTTTTACACCTGTATTTTGTATTTGTGTATGCACCTGTATTTTGCAATTTTGTATGTTTTGCGAATATTAAACCAGTTGTACTGGTAATGCAGTGTTTTACTTAAACATGACGAATGTAAAAATAAGAAACAAAATGGTGTAGAGATGATACAAATGGCATAAAATGAACAAAGAAAATTATTATATATAACAATAATGAAAGAAAATTATGATAAAATATGACTTAAGAATTTTTATAACATCATTTCACAGTACTGTACATATAGCCTACTCAACTTACGACCAAATCGTGTTACGACCGGTCTGTCGGAACCAATCGTTGTCGTAAGTTGAGTACTAGCTGTATTTGTTTTTTCTGAGTTCCTTCCTCAGGAAAGGATCTTCAAGCCTCTCCAAAAAAAAAAAATAGTATTAAAAAATAAAGTATTAAAGAACTGAAACTCACCAGGTGCCTCCTTGCCCCTCCCTAGTTCCTGTTATTTCCTGCTATATAAAACCATACTTTTAGTCAATCAAGAGACGGATTTGAGACTGAGTCCTCATCTGCTTGGCTGCACCATCTGATTAAAGCCTTCTTCCTTGGCAATACTTGTTGTCTCAGTGATTGGCATTTTGTGCAGTAGGACCTTGACCAAACCGCTTTGGTAACATTACCGGAAAACCACTATGATAACATAAGAATAAGCTGTTACATGCCATAATTATTTCACAATCGGAAATTATTACTTCCAGGGGTGGCAGGACCATTGCTACTAGAAGTAAAAATAATTATCAGTGTGTTAGGTGATGACAGAAAAATGTGACTTTGTCTTCAGTGTGTTAGGTGATGAGGGAAAAATATGAATTTGTCTTCATTTCTTCTCTAGGGAAATGCTATATTATTACTCATGGTAGCTTAACAATTTAACACTAGAGAAACCTCTTTCAGTCCTATACACACCCCCAATAGCCAGGCTCCAAGCAGAAAAGATTAAAGGAGGTTTCTTTTAATTATACTTGCTGAATTATCCTAGATAGCCCCATAGTTCCTACATAAAGTACCTGGTTTCCAGAAGTTAATCTAATAAATATTGCTTTGACTGACAACTTTTCTGTCAACCTAAGGTAGCTTTTCAGAGTTAGAAAATACAGACCACATGGGCAAAGAACAAGAGATTTTCATCAACACTCATGGTACTATGCAATTTACGAGTTCCCATGCCTTCTCTAGAAAAATCAACCAAGCTCAAGGAACGCATATGAGCCATCTGACAAGCCCAGTTGGCACTGTGGTCAAAAGAACTTTGGTTTCTCATCATTATGCCTGAGTGGGCTAGAGTTCCAGGGCTCACAGTCCTGGTCAAAAACATAAGGCTAAGAGGCAGAGACAACAGCATTTGCAAATTTAGTAGAGCATAGCCTTTGGTGACAGGCAGCCTTCGTTTGAATTCTGGCTCTGGCACTTTACTGCTGTGTGACCTTAGCCAAATTACTTAACTTCTCTACTCCATAGGTTCCCTATCTGTTAATGAGGATAATGCAAAGCGTACTTCAAAAGGTTGTTATGAGGAGTAAATAGCTTATGTTTAAGTAGCGCTTGTTGCACTATTAAGACTTGAATGGGCAAGATGTGTCTCTGTTCTTAAAAACAAAAGGAGCTTTTATTTCTTTTACATAACAGATTAGAATTCATATACAATAATATGTAATGTTTTTATAAAGGTAATTTTATGGCATTTGATTACAAGAGCTTTGCTAATCAAGCTTTCACACAGAAGATCCCTTTTTCAAGGATTAGGTAAGAAAATACTGCAATTAACACTGGTGGAAGCACTGGTAAAATCTGCTCAGGTTATCATAATGCACAAATAAGGCCTCTGGTGAAAGAGAAAGCATTGTATATATGTACCACTTACATGGGAAATATTCTGATCTCAGTTCTTTTTTCTTGACCATCCTTTTAGTCCGTATTTTTCATTGTTTCTATTGGTAGGAACCAATTTCTGCCAAGTCCTCTGAATGGCTACTTCCTACCCTCTAGTTCTGGGTATCATGGACAGATATTTGCAGTGATTTGAAAGTAGAACCTGAGAAAAGATTTGTCCCTCAGACTTTTTCATTAGCAAAGTGCCGACTCCATTTCCAGGATAAACCAGGAAGACCACATTCACTTATTTCAGTCCTTCATTTGCCTATTTTGTGAGGCCTTTCTATGTACATACAGCACCCCCAAAAAAGGAGAGAATGAAAGAAGAAGACATGAACCCTCTCTTCCATAAAGTAACTTTATAGACAAAATACACAGAGATGAAGATTTCTCATGAATACGATACAAAATTAGTAAGGGTGAGAAAAAAAAAAAAAAAAAAAAAAAACCTCTGCCCAGAAAAGGGAGACTCAGTAAGAGACAGAGTTGAGTTTCTAGAGGCGGGAGTTGTCAATTTGGACTTTAAAAGCAAGGCACACGTCATCCTGAACAAGAGCAGCAGAGGGAGAGAGGTAAATAAGCTTCTCCGCAATAAAAACCTTTAGTTATGAATGTCTCGTTATGATAGGGGAAAACGTGGTAGCCTGCCATATAGAAGTCTCTATGTGTTATCCCCTAGCCAGTTTGTTTGCAAATGGCTTGTCTAACTTTCTCAGGCAGTTTTGCTAGCTTTTAACGAGATTTCTCTAATGTAGTTCTCTGGCTTTCAACTCCCACAGGGGTTTAAGGGCAGTGTTTGAAAATGAGAAAGATAAAAATGCATTCCTCTTAGAAGTTCATATAAAAGCGAAAGAATTGAAGTGAAGCTAGGAAGCTATTATGTACCTTGGTAATCTATTCTGCCTGTAAGTCTAAAGGCTGATGAGAGGCAGTGTGATTTCAGGAGGAATCAAGAGGAGATACTTCCACTGCCCTCATTGCAGGGAGCTCATTGGCTCCAAAAAGGTCACTGTCACAGTGATTCTGAATGACATGAATAAAGGATATTTAAACTTGTCTGAGCTAGTTCCTTGCAGCGCTGTTTATAGTAGTAAAATTCTGGAAACAACCTGAATGTCTTTTCCACAGGCAGATTAGAAAAATTAGGTAAGGTAGAAAGCATCTTTTGGCAGGAGGTAGGATGTATGTTCAAGGGCACTGATCAGTATTAATATCAAAATCCACCAGAATGTTCTGTGCTTTGTTCTTTCATTGCCAGAATCTAAGATCTTGGAAACTTAAAAGCCAAAGATAACTTCTAATATTTTCCTTGTTTTCAATTTTACCCACCGATTCCCACGGACAGAGCCACCTCTAGTTTAATTAGGGTGACGAACTGAAGTGGTGCTATTTTCCTTGTCTCTTTCTTTCTCTTGCTGCCTCTTCTCTTTCTTTTCATATATTTCTTTTTTCCCATACACACATTCCACTAACACATATGGTTTATGTTTTGCTTTAATAGGCATAAGATTTACCTCTAATCTATATTCTTAGAGAAAAATGCTATGTAGTCAACTAAAAATAATGATATGCGCATAATAAACTGCATCCTCTCAACAAAAACAAGGCATAGAACAGCGTGCATAGCTACCATTTATATAAATGTGGGTATCTCTACCTATACATGTAAGGGACTGAATATTTGTGTCTCCTCAAAATTCATATGTTGAAACCCTAACCCACTATGATATGATGGTATGTGCAGAGAGGGTCTTTGGGAAGTGATTAGGTTTAGGTTAGATCATGAGGATAGGGTCCTCACGATGGGGTTAATGCCCTGATAAGAAGAGGAAGAGAGATCAAAGCTCTCTCTTTCTACCATGTATGGACACAGACAGAAGGCAGTCATCTGCAAGCCAGGAAGAGGGTCTTCAGCAGGAAAAAAATCTGCCAGCACCTTGATCTTGAACTCCCTAGACTCCAGAACAATGAGATATAAATGTCTTCTGGTTAAGCCACCCAGTCTATGGTATTGTGTTCCAGCAGCCCAAGCAGAGTTAAGACTACAAACACACACACACACATACGCACGCACGCATGCACGCACACATTTGGCAAGACATAGAACATTTCCAGAAAGATAATTGAGAAAGTAGCAATATTGGTTGTGTCCCGCATGACAAGGAGAAGGCTGGCTGGGCCCGGTGGCTCATGCCTGTAATCCCAGCACTTTGAGAGCCCGAGGTGGGTGGATCACTTGGGGTCACGCATTCAAAACCAGCCTAGGCAACATGGTGAAACCCAGTCTAGTAAATAGTAAAAAGCCAAAATGGTAGCCAGGTGTGGTGACACGCACCTGTAGGCCCAGCTACTAAGGAAGGCTGAGGCAGGAGAATTGTTTGAACCCAGGAGGTGGAAGTTGCAGTGAACTAAGACCCTGCCACTGCACTCCAGCCTGGGCGACAGAGTGAGACTGTCATAAATGAATGAATGACAAGGAGAAGCCCTAGAAGATCTAAAATCAGGAAATGGAGGAAGATCTACTTCTAGACTAAATAAAACCTACTTATTCGCACTAAAAATCTGCATATGAATATGCAATATATGTATGTTTTAATAATAAAAAAGTCACTCTCAGATTTTTAAAATGTCTGTCTCAATGGTTCACCGAAAGTAACAAAGCAATTCTCATAAAGTCCCTGCAGTTCACTAACTTCCATTATCTATTGGGGGTTTTTCAAAAAGACTGTGACACATTTTTTTAACATTCTCTTAAAACGTTCCTTACTCTAATTTCTCATCCTGCCCTGAGGGGGATATGGGCATGTCCCATTAAGAACAGACCTTATGTGAGAACACTGGTGAGAACAAGATTCCAATGGTCATTTACTAGGTCATATCTGACTAGGTCATGTCTTAATGTGCTACAAGATAAAGTGAGACTTACCAGTAGAACCTGTTTGGTACAACCCCTTCTTGGATAAGCTGCCACCTTCTTCCAAATTCAGCAGAGCTGTATAACTGTAAAGAACAGAAATTACTCAGCACTATGGTTCTACAGTACATCAAATACACAAACATCAGTTCATTGGATCAACAGTAATAATAATAATACCTAACATTTATTGAACATCTGTCATATACAAGGTGAGTGCTTCACACGTGTACTATCTCTATTCCTCATACAAATTCTGCATGGCAGATTCATATCTTCATTTTATAGTTGAGGAAACAGAAGCTTTGAAGGATTAACTGACTTGTTAGAAATTACATGTCGAATAAGTAGTTGAACGAACTGGAATGCACACCCTGTTCTGCCTGGTGATAAGGTCAGCTGTGCCACTTGACCTAGCATGTGCAAAGAGTGCAAAATCTAGACCTGGTTCTGAAGAGCACACAATGTAATCCAAACCTGGCTAACATCATGAGAAATGCACGAGGCAGCCAGTGATAAAATAATGCGGAGACGGGGGCCAATTCAAGGATGTTTCCCAGACACTGTGGTGAAACAGCTGGGACCTGAATGAATACAACATTCAAATGGACAAAAATAGCATTATTCACAAAAGGAGCAGCATGCGTCAGAGTGGTAACATAGACAGGGACAAGGCAGAATAAGCATAGCTTATCTAAGTAAGTCTGGATAGACAGGTTTAGGGCAAGTTGCAGAGGTAAGAATTGATTCTGCAGAAGTTAAGGAACCAATGTTGGTTTTTCTCACAGTAACCAGTGGTACCTCAGACTAGAAAACAGCAATCCACATTGACCATGCTGTTACTAAGATCCAAGATCCAAGTGCTTCACACACATTACCTTATTTAATCCATACGCTATCTCTGTGATCTATGAAGTTATTATGTCCATTTTACAGCTGCTACAATTTCAAATCCATTTCCTACCTTGCTTCAGTACTCTCCGAGGGCAGCTGCAAAGAGTTGCAGTTCATGAAATAGAGACTGACCCTTCACATACTCCATACTTAAAATGCCTTCTCTTGTGTACAGTTCTTTGTTGTTCCTTGTCATCCTGCTGCTGGTTGATAATCTTTACATCACCGTGGGACCCCCTCTGCCTCTAGAAGTGTCCCTTGATGACAGCCCAGAGAATTGTGTTGCTGTAGGTATTCTAGTTGCCATGGGCATCTAGCTACTGATTTGAAAAAATATGTACTATTTACAACAACCCCTTTCTGTTATGTGCCTGATCTGTAACCAACCTGCACCTGATTCTTCTCCCATTGCATTTGCCACCTCCCACGGTGAATGGATGGTGAGTCACACTGCACTCTACCACGATGGCTCAGCTTTTCTCTCTCACCCCAGCCCGACCCTCAATGAAGGGTCAAATGACTCACCAAGCAACTCACCAAAGCTGCCACATGCACCAGGCATGTCCAAGGAACAACCCAACTCTAGTGAGTATTTACTGACTCTTGAAATAACCTGCTACAACATTGTGTCCACTGGATCAGCGCACAGCCTGAAACCAAAAAATCACTGAACTATCTGGATACCAAGGTGAGCAGCTCAATTGGTTCCAATTACACTTCATTCAGACATCTAGCCAAGGAGAATCTGTAACTTTTTCTAAGTCTTTTTTATTATTCATTCTTTGGCCATCATGCCCGGGGGAGGATGGTTTCCTGGTTTCATTTCATGTTTGATGTACTTTATGAGTGCCAAGCAGAGACGGGTGACAACTCCCCTCACAGAGATAACAGGATGGGACAGGTCACACGTTCCTAACTCAGAACCCAAACAGCCAGTGTATGTATGGCCTGCTTCCTGTTCCCAGTATGTCCTCAGCACCTTGCATCTCAGCACAGGGACTTGTGCAACAATAGCAAGCACCCAACCCAAAAGTTTCCACTTCTCTCCCCACTTGTCTCTTTTAAGCCCAGAGCCCTACTTCTTTCTACAAGTTTACCAAGAACAGAGTTCACACCACTGTGCTGTGCCTATGTCATATAGATCTATCTATGTTTACATATAAAGATTAATGCAAATGTGAAAGTATCAGGGCAGTTCAAAATAATATGTCTGTGTACACAGGCTGAATCATATCCATGCTGCAAGGATAATATATATACTCTATGTGCTCCTTCGGCTATGTCAAGGGATTGCTATTCCTGTTGCCATAGAGAATTCATCTCTGTGAGGAATTGTTTGTGGTTCTTTATTTCTCTTTTTAAACGTATCCCCTAAGCTTGGATCTGGAGCCTGTGGACCACTCAGGTATGTCCCATGACACTTGTTTATATCTTCAAAGATCAATTTTGTTATTTGTGAGCATCTAGAGGCCCCTCCAGCATTGGGTATACAAAACAATCCCATCAACCAAGCCTCTCTTATTCAGCTCAGTCAGATTCTTTTCAATTTACTGTCTCCAAAGGTACCTTTCTGTCTTGGTGGGCTGCCTCTGTCACCTTCCCACACATGCCCTGCTGTGCCTTCACTGAGGCTACCCACTCTGGCAGATGTGGTTTCAAGACTTTCCTTCTTCAACACCAGTCTTGTTTTCAGAGCCAGATGAAAGGCCACCTCTTCTATGAACCCTCCTCTACCTACTAAGATTCCCACTGGTCTTGTTCCAAGAGCAGATGCTATCAAACTACCAGCCAGGTATTTATATTTAACTCTCCTAATGGCCTTTTAAGAGAATCTTCCACGAACAGAAGGCAGAAATTCCTTTCTATCTAAAATTACTCGAAGACCACTTCCTGCCTCTTTAATGAGATTGCAAAGCTTTTAGATGTTGGAAATCTTACCCTTCTACATGAACAGGTGCCTCAAACACAGATGATAAAGGAAAGGGATAATGATTTTGCGCCATGTGAATTTCCAAGTCATGCTGCTATCTAATAAAGAATCCAGGTTCCACAACTGGTGGACAAAGAAAATTTATCAGAGGAATACGTTTTGCTTCCATGGATTTTTACACCTAAAAATCAAACAAAACACACATATGCAAAACCCTATAAATGTCAGTATATTTGAAACTCCCAAGGATTTGAAACCAGAGTCTTGCATATTCACTTTTAGACAAAACTGCTCTGTATTCTCCACCTACTACTTCAAACATTTTTCTCCCTAAAAAGTTAATTGTCCAGCCTGGTATTATGCCAACTAAAAAAGAAAACAACAACTCTCTGCCATTCAAGTGAACGTGTTAATTAAACCTACAGAGTCTGGCAGCAAAGTTCTCCTCCACAAAGAAGGGAATGGTATCAAAGCATTTTACCCAATGACTATCTCAGCCACCCATGGAAGGCTTTCCCTGTAGAATGAGTCAATGTCCTTTAATAAAATTCATAGTGTTGGCAGCACCTAAGTAAGATTTATTTCCCTCTCTGTCTGTTTCTGGCTCCAAGGTTTCTTCTGACTGTCGGAACACAGAACTAAGAACTATCATTACTATCTGTCACATCAGAGAAAGCAGCAGCAGCTTTCCCTAGCTATGCCAAGCTTGGAGAAAGAGAGAAAGATGAGGATGAGGATGAAAGAGTGCCCAGTCTAGTTTTAGGAGGGCACTGTTCCTCTACTAGTGCTGTGTCATGAACTGTAAAATGCCATCCTTAGAGCATTTGATTTTGTTTAGCTAACCTTAGTATAAATGTTGAAAAGAACTGAAGAAGCAGAAATTTTAGAGAACAGGGGAAGATTCTGCTTATATCTGCAATAAGAATGCAACACAGAAAATCCTTCTGTCTAAAATTTTTCTAAAATATCTGTGACCACTTGCATTAGTAGATAAAACTTAATGTATACAACCCAACACTCACCTGTGCTCAAGATCTATTAGCAGTCTTAGGCCCTAACCCTCCATACGGTCATCATGCTGGTCTGGGAGCTATTCACACTCCTCTCTCTTTCCTGACATGTTCCTCTTCTGAAGATTTTTTTTCTTTTTTTTTTTTTTTTTTTTGAGACATCTTTCACATTGGCTTGTTTCCTTGCCATCTGTCTTTGTTTGCTTTAAGAAGAATGCAGATAAAAATACACTTAACTCCAAAAGATGAAATTGCCAGGGTTAGTTTCATGGAGAGCTTTGAGCCAACTGTCAGCATCTCTGGCATCATCCTCTGGATGTCTTTAGAGCTGAGAGATTCTTCTCAATTTCCTCTCTCCAAAGGTACCTCTTGGTCCTGGTGGGCTGGCTCTGTCACCTTCCCACACATGCCCTGCTGTGCCTTCACTGAGGCTGCCCACTTTGGCAGAAGTGGCTTTAAGACTTTCCTTCTTCAACACCGGTCTTGTTTTCAGAGCCAGATGGAAGGCTACCTCCTCTAAGAACCATCCTCATTCATAGTTGGGTGATTGACACTGGCTACCAGGAATGACAAAAAGGATGTCACATTGGGACAAAATAGCTTGGGGGAGGGAAGAATGGGATGCACTGGTTTTGCTCAAGACTCCTTGTCTACAGCAGATGAAGAAGGGAGGAGAGTAGGGTACAGCCATTTCCAACACTCATTGTCCACCTTACCATTCACACTTTGGCTAAATCCCTAGAAGAGTGACAACTTGTTACCAGATAAGAAATTCAGCTCCTTGTGGTTATCCACAAGCTTGCAATTGTCAGTGTCCCTAGAAAGTCTTTCCAATATTCCTAAATTGGATCAGTGTGTCCTCTCTTTTCAGATTGTTAGACAGGTGCACGTGATGGAATTTTCTTTTGCAGCTGGGAAATGAGTAAAAGAGCAACCATTTCACAGAAATTTGTGCTAGGAGAATTCCATAGAATCTAAGAGTTGTGATAACGTTTTAAGTCTTTGGTTCATGGGACCAGATATTGGTCACCACAAAGTTTCCCATGGCGGCTTCCCAGGTCAGGGGGCAGTTTCCTGGGGCTCCTCCACACAAACTCCTTAGGAGGCATCTGCGTTGGCAGAACACACCCTGCTGTCAGCTCTTTTCAAGGTTGCCTGCCCACTCCTTTTTCCTTCTCGGCTCTTAACATTATGGAAGCAGGGGGCCTGCAAACTGTGCTTCTTGAAAAGGCTGACAGAAAATCCTGCCAGT